CGGTTCGCGCCTGTTCGCGCGTTGCCGCCAGTTGCCGCGCAACTTTCACCGCCGCGGGCCTTGGCCTCTACCACCACCACCGTCACCGCCACCACTCGTAGCAATGATGATGGTCTTTCAAATTCGAAAGTAACGGATCCCGAGCGACTCTTGGTTTGCATACAAACTCTGTGCGGTTCTTGTTGGGCTCGTGCTACCTGCCCCGCTTTGTACCAACATCCTCTCGTCCAGGGTTTCTCAACCCAGTTTCGACTCTAGTGCACCGCTTCCAGTCAAGCCGGCTTTACTTGCTTGTACGGCATTGAGCTACAGTGGGGCAGAGCTTAGCCCCTATCTCGTACGAGTGGTATCTTGTTGTTCCTCTGCTTCATTGTAGCTGCGGCGGCATGTCCACTCCACATACGCGGATCGACTTGGTGCGTATTTTGATCGAAATTCTGAAAACACTACCATCTGACTTGCACTCAGTAGCGTTGTATGTACGTATATAGGGATATGATCATGTTCCGCCAGTTGGATCCCGTCCCTGCCTAAGAATAACGCGAGAATAGCGTACAGGTGGCATGCAGGTATGTACTTTGTAATCTTCAGCTTCCGACCTGGTATACTAACTCATACCATAGTACATCGATCATCCTGCTCTTTGGGTCGTCGCCGCTCTGCTAGAGTAGGTTCGCGTAGTAAGTTCTTTCCAATGCATCGCTTTCAGGATCGGGCCTGTGTCTATCCCGGGTGTGCTGCGACCTTGAAAGTTAGTCCATTCGTTGCGTCACGCGTCAACTGTTCTCCTGTACACATCTAGAGCCTTGTCGGCTTGATGAAGTGACATCCGTGCTCATACGCATGCAATAGTTGCCTTGACCGACAATGTATCTTGATCTTAGCGCGACAAAACTGTGTACACTGTAGACGTCTCATCACGTACGTTTCGAGCCCTGAATTGATAATGATGTTATTTTTCTTCGCATGCGAGTATATATGGCAGGTATATTGCCCACAGACTGAGTCGTCGACATCTCGTTCAAGCGCCATGGCCGGCGTGGATCCAACATACCCGCTGTATCCCATTGATTGCTTTTTGGCTGCAGCAATGCTACTCCTCGTCCTGTTGACCGGCTTCATCCGTCAAAGCTGGAACCTCGGCGTCGCCTTTCTTTGTTTCTGGCTCTTCATCGAGGTTCTGACCGCCGGTATCGATGCTATCATATGGTCGGATAATGCAGACATCAAGCTGTATGTGTATTGCGACATCGGTCAGTGAATCATATCGCAATGTGCATTCCTCTGGGCCTCTTTATATCTAACATCTTATCTAACAGTATCGCACTTGCAAGCAATCACTTCGGTTGTCAAACCTATGGCCACTCTCATCATCACTCGCCGACTATACCTGATTACCAGCCTGCGTTCCATAGAGCCTCCTGCAAAAGCGGCGGTGAGTCTCAGTGCACGACCGATTCTGCTCATCCCGACTTTTGTAATAGAGACACAGAAATCTTGCGATAGAGTGGGGACTCGGTTTGGGCATTCCTCTTCTGGTTGCAGGACCTCTCTGTGAGTACACCTATGGCTTGAACTTCACCGTGTGCGCTCATTCCGCTCGGAGACTACGTCGCTCAGGGTGCTCGATTCAAGGTCGACGAAGGTTTTGGCTGCTTCAATCCCCCCGATGGATCTATACTCGGTGTCTTGCTTCTCCAATCATGGACTGTACTTCCTCCCCTGGTGTCCATCACCGTGTACTATCGTGCGTCAGGCTTATCTTGTGCGATCTCTCCGTAATCTTGCAAGGCTCATCCTTAATACCCCAGCTCATGTGGCCCGAGTCTTCTATCGCCACAATCGGGAGATCAACCAGTTCTTACAAAGCAACAACTCGGTATCCCGGACGAACTACTTTCGCATCCTTGCCCTTGCAAGCATCGATATTCTCCTGACCTTGCCTATGGGCATTGTGACCATCGTCTTGCTCGTGAAAGGCGATCTGTCTTTCGGTCGCATCCCATTCTACCCTGGTTGGACCATTGACCACACGGACTGGCAGCCGGCGAGCTTCTCCTACGCAGACATAGTATCATCGGGGCCTTTTGATGTAGCGGACTTCTACTTCATTAACTGGACAGCGCCTGTCCTCGCGTTCGTCATCTTCGGTCTATTCGGCGTAACTTCGGAAGCCCGAGCCTCGTACTGGCGCATTATATGCACCGTCGGCGGCTGGTTCGGCTGGAAACCCACACCTCGGACGCGCAGGACGCGTTCGCCGCTGGGTGATATCGAGTTCGGCGAGCGTCCTGCTCAGAACTCTATGTCGCTTGGTCTCGAGTACGCCCACCCGCGCATTCACAAGGGATTGACTAACGATAATGAATCAGGTCGAATCCAAGCTACGTCGACCGCAACGCCCGCGCGCAAGGTCGGATCGTCGAGAGCGCAGGTGCAAGAGGCGGCGCAGAGGACGAGTCGGAGAAGGACGGGAATGAGGAAGCGCCCTTATCCCAGGCGACGTACGCGGCATCTGATTACTGATTATTCCGAGTGTAGACTGATGCGCCGTGTCGGATAGGTACCTAGACGCAGAGCGCCCGACACAGCCTCCCGGCGGCTCGCATGTAGCCAGTTTCGGCGCTGCTTCGGCTATGGTGTAATCAGTCCGGTCATACTTATCTATGCCTCTTTACGGCACTGTTGTGACTCTTTGCTGTACGAGATCCCAAGCGCCTTCGTAACCTATAGTCCGAGCGTAGCTTGTTGCTACGTATATATGTGCGCCTCAAGTAAGATCTTGATATATTTCGCATGCCCAGCTTCAACGTTTGCGGTCCTCTTTGTTTTACGCGCGTAGAAGCGGGGCACGAGCTTCATCGCACGGCAGTCCGAGTCGGCGGGCCAAACGCGCGCGTACAACACGCTAGATGCGGGGAAGATTCGTGCGGCGCGTCGAGAGCAGACAGGTCATGTGACCGCGTTTCGGACTCCGCCGGCTCAAATCAAAAACCCCAACCCACGAGAACGAGCAGCTGGTACTGATGCACGTACTTTGTAGACCAGACCGGCGACACGCTAGCGTGCATGAGCATGTTCAAGCATGGTAGATACACGCCCAAGAGTATCTAGGTGTCTACACAAGCAGATACGAGCGCGCCGAAGGCGCGAGACGCGATCGCGTCACGAACAGATCGAAGCTTTCCGGAGCAAACGGGAGAGGTCTCTTCAGGTATTCTCTCTTCGTAAAGTATGTGCGCCTCAGTTGTATAGTACTGAGATTGGTTTGCGGTGCTGCTAGTATATGCGTACACGAATGACAAAATCGTAGTGTAGACGCTTATTGGCTTTGACAGGCATCGCAGGGGGGAGGAAAGGCCAGTCCTAAGTACAGGGAATGTAACGGGGTAGCGACTACGTTGATCTGCAAACAAACATCGTGAGCACGAACGTACAAGTTCACAAGATCAAGGAGTACGCACATCCGTCAGAACCCTCGTGAGCGCCTTAGAGGTCCTGTCTCAACAGGACATCGGCGCGCCCCACCCGCCGTTCTTCGTCACTCCAAGCCTGTCCTGCGCATCTCAAACGGTGTCGACACCACCGACTTCACCCGCTCCATCTCCGATATGGGCGAGTGCACCGCCCGTCGCACCGCAACAACCTCGCCTCGGATGTGTCGAAAGGACGGCCCATCCATATGACGCGTGCTCGCGTTGAACGAGCGGAGACTCAGGTTCGTGCAGGTCACAGCGCTAGGTCGATGGAGCTGCGCGAACATATGCCGAAGGACTGCATTCAAGCGTCCCCAGGCAAATGCTGTTAGCGCGCTCCTTCCCACTGAGACCGTGTGCGAGCAGCGGGTATTCTCCAGCTTCGTAGGAAGCGGAAGGGGGAGGCCGATGGGGCAAGGGGAGGCGCTGGTGGCGAGATATGCATGTACGCGGCCCTATCTTCCCATCATCCTCCGTATCCGCGATGGCCTCCGGAGAATCTTGTACAGCTTCTTCCAGCCCAGCGACGCGATCACGCGTCCAGAGCCCTCGATACGTCCCTGGGTAAGGTCGTGCTGTCCAACTTGTACAAGCTCGGCGCGTTTTGGCGCAGGGTTGACGTCGTAGACCTTGGGAGTGTCCTGACGACCCGGGGGGTTCGAGGCTTTGCACGCACTCCGGCGATCAGAGGGCCGCCGCCAGTGCAACAAGGAAAGAAGACCGCGTCAATGAGCGAGCGGCGTAGAAATAATGTTGTAGCTGGTCGCCACCCGCTCGAACAGACGTCACTGTTGCGCTGGGGCCCGCGCGCATCTTGGGAGCGGCGAGATGAGTAGTCGAACGTGTGCCGCTATACGCCTCGCGCGCCGTTCGTAGAGAAAGCATGCACAGAGTGTGTGGGGCGTAGAGTATTTTGCACGACGTGACTAGTAGGTCCACGCTAGAGTATTGTTCGCCAGCGCGACTGGAACGCCATTTTCCTCGTCGTCTCTCGTCCTCCTGAACCTCGATTGGCCGCATCTTCTCCTGTATCCGCGCGTGCACCATAGGTCGTACAATTTCCCAACACTATTGGTGGCAGTGTAGGCAGTTCGTCGCGTCTGCTGACGTCTCGTGGATGCGCATCCAGCGATATATCCTGGGGATTCGCTGCTGTTGCGGCGTAGAGTATTATGGGTGCACTACAATCGGATGCACGCTCGCGGCACTATCGCTGCTGGCTTGCGAATGGGTGTGTAGAGCTGTTTCGAGCGTCGTAGGCTTCTCACTGCCTTGAGAGACGCCGATATCGGAGGACTAGGACCGATAAATTATGACAGGCACTACGCGGGTCTTGCTCTTAGATCGAGTGCGTGCATGTGCATAGGCTTCAGCAAAGAGGATTGAGTACGGAGACGTGGCGCTTGGCTGGGCCATCATGAGTGGGAGGTGAAAGAACACGCGCCGCCGCCGAGGCTTGTAGCGGTGTCGCCCGTTGCCGCTTGACGCGCCGCTTTCGTAGCCGCGTGCCAATCTTCTCTTGGTCTCTACCACCACTACGAACTGCAACAATGACAACATTGTTTGAATACCTTCAGTAGCGCACCGCGCGAAAGTCAAATGGATCTTGATATGCATATGAGTGTACGCCCGTCTTGCTGGGCTCGCGGTCACCGCGCCCGACATGTACAAGTGCCGTCTCGTCCACGGGGCCGACCCAGTTTCGGCTTTCGTGCGCCGCTTCGATCTGATCTAGACGGTTGATACGACATCTAGCTGCCGCAGGGCAAGGCTCGGCCCTCATCTGGTACGTGCGTTGTCCTGTTCTTCCGCTCCATCGTAGCAAACCGTTCCGCACACGCGGATATCGATCCAGTACGCATCTTGCCTCCAACTTCTTATGGCTACCATCTGACTTGCCCCTCGTAGCGCTGACCATACGTCTGGGCGACATCTTTCCAGCCGACTGCATCACGATTCGGGGATAGCGCGAGAACGGTGTCGCGGAATACAAGGTGCGCATAGACGTACTGTTATTTTCGTTTCTCGAGCTAAGATACAGGCTCATCACAGATGTCGACCGATACTCCTTCTTTCCAGGACGTCGTCGTTCTGCCAGCGCCGTCTATTGTGCGAGTTAGCGCGGCGGATGCAATCCATGACCTTGTCGAGCACCACGAATATATCGATAGGATCGAACCCGTGTTCATCACCGGTGCTTCTCGATACCAAACATTGCAACGAGCGCTTCGCGTGAACCTCTTCCCGAGCACATCTCCTCAAGCGTTGCCGCCACGAAGCGATGTGCTCGCTCGTTCGCGCACCGACGCCGCTTGCAATGGTTGCCTGGACGCGGAGACGCACTTGATGTCGTCATGAAAAGATCGCCTACTCTACATGGACACAATCATGTCTACGTCTTCCAATGCTGCCTCACATTGTGTTTGTCAGGTATATATGGCAGGCATCCGACTCACAGACTGAGTCGTCAACACCTCGAAGTTCAAGCTTCATGGCAGCCGTGGATCCGACGTACCCCCTCTACCCCATTGCTTGCCTTCTGGCTTCAGTAACGCTACTCCTCGTATTGCTTAACAGCTTCATTCGTCAAAGCTGGAACCTTGGCGTCGCCTTCCTTTGTTTCTGGCTCTTCTTCGAAAATCTCACTAACGGCATCAGTCCTATTCTATGGTCTGATAATGCACTCATCAAGCTGTACGTGTATTGTGACATCGGTTAGTAAACCCGCAATGGGTCTGTGCAATCCTCTCGGGTTCTTCATCTGACATCATGTTGAGCAGTATCGCACCTACAAGAGATCACTTCGGTTGTCAAACCTATGGCCACCCTGATCATTACTCGCCGACTATATCTGATCACCAACCTACGTTCCGTAGAGCCTCCTACAAAAGCGGCGGTGAGTCTCAGTGCACGACCGATCCTCCTCGTTTTGACTTTAGTATCAGAGACGCAGAGATCTGGCGATAGAGTGGGGGCTCGGTTTGGGCATTCCTGTTCTGGTTTCAGGACCTATCTGTGAGTACGTCTACGGCTCAAATGTAGGCTTGTGCTCAGCCCGCCCGGAGACTACGTCGTTCAGGGTGCTCGATTCAAGGTCTTAGAGGGTTTCGGCTGCACCAACACCCCTGATGGATCGATACTCACCCTCTTGCTTCTTTATTCATGGAACGTGTTACCTCCCTTGGTTTCCATCACCGTGTACTATCGTGCGTTAGGATCGTCTTGTCCAATCCCTCATCGACCTTGCAATGCTCATACTAATACTCCAGCTCATGTGGCCTGGAGCTTCTATCGCCATAACCGCGAGATCAACCAGTTCTTACACAGCCACAATTCGGTGACCCGCACTAACTACTTTCGCATTCTTGCCCTTGCAAGCATCGATGTTCTGCTCACCTTACCTATGGGCATTGCGACCATCGTCTTGGCTGCGAAAGACGATTTGTCTTTTTCCGGTCCATTATTATTCTACTCTGGTTGGACCTTCGACCACGCGGACTGGCAGCCGGCGAGCTTCTCCTATGCAGACATAGTGTCCGAGGGGCCTTTGCTCGTGGGACAATTCTACTTCACTCATTGGACATCGCCCGTCCTCGCATTTGTCATCTTCGGCCTCTTCGGCGTTGCATCGGAAGCCCGCGCATCGTACTGGCGCGTCATATGCACCGTCGGCGGCTGGCTCGGCTGGCAACCCACACCTCGCGCGCACAGGTCGCGTTCGCCACTGGGAGATATCGAGTTCGGCGAGCGTCCTGCTCAGAACTCTATGTCGCTAGGTCTCGAGTACGCAGCTCGTCCCTTCGCACACGCATATGGCTGACGACAACGAGCCAGGTCAAACCCAAGCTACATCAGCCCCAACGCCGGCGCGCAAGATCAACCCGAGGGCGGAGTTGAAGTCGGGGGCGTCGTGTACGACGCAGAGAACGGCTTGGAGAAGGATGCTATCGAAGAGGTACGCCGGAGTACTGCCGAGGAGACGTACGTGGCCAATTGAGATCGTTCATGTGTACTGGGAGTACCGCTGACGTGTCGAGTAGGTACGACGAGCGCCCGATACAGCCTTCGGCGTCTTCTCAGGCTGACTTCGGCCTTGCTTCGGCCGAGGTGTAGGGCGGTACTATTAGTATTAGGACGTTTTTGAGCAGCAGCGCTGCGGCTTCTCGCTGTGCGAGGTCACTTATAGTTTGGGCGTCGGTTCTCAAGTCCGTATGTACACGCGCTCTGACTTCGTAAAATCCATATATTGTGGCTATGCTGTATGTACACAGGGATAATGATATGGTGCTACGAAGCCAGAGCAAGGGCTAAATGAAGCCAACGGCGGGATCGCCCGAAAGCGCTAAGAGTGATACTGTAGCTGCAGCGGATGTCCCTGAATTGATCGTCGATGTGGCCGAACGAGGCGAGCCAACCTGCAAGTGAACTCTCGTCAACAAGAGTCTAGGTAAGTTCAATATCTTGCCACGCACCGGTCGTTGGGGCCGCTTTCCCGCCTGCGGATAAGAAGGATTTGGGTGCGCGACACTATGAGGGCCATGGTAAGACCGCAGGCCTCGCACTGAACGAGGAATCCATTGAAGTGGCGGCGAACAACGAGCGGTGTAGACGCCCAATAAGCGAAGACCATTGGCGGCCTTGGAGTCCTGCTACGTATATCGTGCTATAAGATGATGAGCAAAGATGAGAGATGTTGAGAGCAACGAACGTACCTGCGCCCTCGCTCCGTGATCGCACCAACTTCCACCCAGCACCTCTCGTGGCATAATCAAGTTTGTTTGCGCCGAGATATCATCCGCAAGCGCAGCTGGGACGGCGAGTCTTCGCGTTCGTGAACGTGCGGAGATGCGCGTCCGACAATTCACGTCGAGAGTCCGACGCCAATACGGCGTGGGAGGACTAGATGCCGTGCGGGTGAGCAGGGAGGTCGAGCATTCGGTTCACAGCCGACTTGCGACCTGAAGTGCCAAGTTATCGGGGCATAACAAGTTGGAGAAGTAGCAGCAGGTGAGATAGCCAGGAGATGCGGGACAAAGACCGGTTGTTCGCCCTTGAAGTTGTCGTGGCCGCAAGTTGGAAGCCCGTCGCGCACATTTATTGCGGCCCGAGTGCCGGGCCCGGCGCCCGCGGTTAATTCGTCCTCACAACTCTTTCTCTGCCAGCCACTATCACTGAATGTGAATGAGTTACCTTCTTTGAAATGGCCCCAGATAAGCTGTACTTGGTCTCAATATCTAATCAACGGACTCGCGCGAGTTCTGTAAAATGTCATTCTTCTCCTATAGCTAAGCCAGGCGCTCCAGCGCTTTTCCCATGTGCGAACGACACTGCTCAGGTCTTGTTCTATCAAGAGCCAGTCCACCACCTCGGCCATCTTTGACCGCTCGCATAGACCACTCGATTGGATGATACGAAGTGCTTCATGCGCGACGCACCGAGTGAGTTGCTTGAAACCTCTTTACATCCATACATATCTACTTTTCAACAGCAGGTGTTAGGTCTAGGCGTACAACGTCACAGGACGTTTGATTGTTCGACTGCCGCCCCACTTCCATCTCGACCTTGCAGGATAGCCCTCCTTGCAGAATAGCAAGGAAGTATTCGAGTACAACCTCTGGATACGAATAGCGAATGCTACAATCAGACATGGCAATGGTGGGCGTTGAACCACGCAATTGACGATGCAAGCTGACCATATCCACAGCCTCGATCAAGTACAGGTGATGCACCTGCATCGTAACGGGAAGCCGAGGAGACTGGCGATATCGCAACACCGTTGTACGTTCACGCCCGCGTGGTTTCGGCTAGACTTGGCTATATTACGCCCATCTAGGATCATCGAAGCGGAACGCACTTTCACGTTCGGGAGTCAGCATTGCCTATGCAAGTACACTCGGCGGTGCACATCGGCCTTGCCCGCCGCTCCATTGACAAGAATGATGATGCCGTGGAAGCCCATAGAAACGCGCCGCGGTTTGCTTACCCGCAATGATGCGCGTACCTATCTGGCACGTACTAGCGTCTCAAATGGCAGTCTTACTCTTATTTCGAGTGTACTCTGTGCTCCTCTCGAGCATTCGCGGATGGTCTCTTGCCCGCATCTCACTCACGGTCCGTGCAGCTGTTCAACCTCATTTCGGTGTTCGTCTCTCTGCAGATACGTTCAGCGTTTGCAACCACGTCTCAACGGATACTAGAGCTTCATGCATGGTGTATGGGTAGGGTATAAAGAGGCGCCAGCTCTGCCATTGCTAAAGACATACAGGAGCGATATCGCGATGGCCGCCGCCGACCCGACATACCCCCTCTACCCCATCGCTTGCATCCTGGCTTCAACAATGCTGCTTCTCGTGCTCTTGACCAGCTTCATCCGCCAAAACTGGAATCTCGGCGTTGCCTTCCTTTGTTTCTGGCTTTTCTGGGAGAACCTGACGGGTGGCATCGGTTCCATCATCTGGGCCGATAATGCCGACGTCAAGCTGTATGTGTATTGCGACATCGGTCAGTACATGTCTAGTTGGGCTGCTTATCCGCTCAGACACCATCTGACATCACATCGAGCAGTATCGCACGTGCAAGTCATCACTTCGGTAGTCAAACCTATGGCTACTCTCATCATCACTCGTCGACTATATATTATCACCAGCCTACGTTCTGTAGAGTCTCCTACAAAAGCGGCAGTGAGTTGTAGTGCACGCCTAATCCTCCTCACTCTAACTTCAGTGTCAGAGGCGCAGAAATGTTGTGTTTGAATGGGCGCTCGGCTTGGGCATTCCTCTCCTGGTTGCAGGACCTTTTTGTGAGTACATCGAGGGCTTGAACGCCACTGCGCGCGCTCAGCCCACCCGAAGACTACGTTGTCCAGGCCGCTCGATTTGAAGTCGACGAGGGTTGGGGCTGCAGTGCCCCCTCCGATAATTCAATACTCAGCATCTTGCTTCTATATACATGGAACGTGCTACCTCCCCTGGTGTCCATCACCACGTACTATCGTGCGTTTGGCTCATCTTGTGCGATCGCCTATTGGTCTTGCAATGCTCATCCTCGCTACTCCAGCACATGTCGCTCGAATCTTCTATCGCCACAATCGGGAGATCAACTAGTTTTTACAAAGCAACAATTCGGTATCCCGCACTAACTACTTTCGCATTCTTACCCTTGCAAGCATCGACATTCTGGTCACCTTGCCTCTGGGTGTTGCGAACATCGTCTTGATCGTGAGAGACGATCTGTCTTTTGGTCGCTTCCCATTTTACTTTGGCTGGACCTACGACCACACGGTCTGGCAGCCGGAGAGCGCTACCTTTGCGAAGATAGTGTCCGCCGGGCCTTTCAACGTAGCAACCTTCTACTTCGCTCTTTGGACATCACCCGTCCTCGCGTTCGCCATCTTCGGCTTCTTCGGCGTAACTTCGGAAGCCCCGGCCTCGTACTGGCGCATCATATGCACCGTCGGCGGCTGGTTCGGCTGGCACCCCACACCTCGCGTGCGCAGGTCGCGTTCGCCGCTGGGCGATATCGAGTTCGGGGAGCGTCCCGCTCAGAACTCGATATCGCTGGGTCTAGAGTATGCCGACCCGCGCATTCACGAGCGACTAAGCTGACGAGGATGAGCCAGGTCGAACCCAAGCTACATCGACCGCAACGCTCGCACGCAAGGTCAGGTCATCGAGAGCGGAGCAGGAAGCGGTGACGCCATGGGGCGTGAGTCGGAGAAGGACGAGATTGAGGAAACACGCCGTTCTGCGTCGTACGTAGCCTCTCTGCTGGATACGTCGAGTGTGAGCTAAAGCGTCGAGTAGGAGCTCGGACGCAGAGCGCGCGGTACAGCCGCCCCGGGCCGGCTCCCACGAAGGCGGCTTCGGCGACGCTTCGGTCGTGGTGTAAACGGGTTCGATACTCGTCGATGTCGCTGTTCAGCGCTATTGCGGCTTCGTACTGTATGAGGTTTTGGGTATCTTCCAGGTCGTACGCTGAGCGTGCCTTCTTGCTATGCATGCGTGCCTCAGGTTAGGTTTCGGTGTGTTCTTGTGCCGGTTCGAGCGTTCGCGGGTTTCATTGGCTCATTATGTATGCGCGTTTCAATTGTAGAGTTCCGAGATTGGTATATGACATCGTTTGTGTATATGTACGCGGACATCAACGCCGTGGTGTACGAAGGGCTCAGGGAGAGGGAAGGGCGGATAGCGGGGTACAGTAGCGTTCCTTCCTGTTACTCCGATGCACGATGCTGCAGACCAGCGTTGCAGCCGATCCCCCAATTACGGTTGGATCGGGACTGGTAGCAGCCACCTGCCAGCGAAAGGAACATGTTGTGACCGATAGGCTTACAGTATGATCAACTGCTTCCACGGTGTTGAGAGACGAACGACCGGGACCGTGCGTATACGAGAGCATGCCATAGTCGCTAGCAAACTATTCCCCGCGCGTCCGAGTTGAGCGCGTTCGGCGACGCTCCGCATAGATCCCTCGCGGGGCATGCTAAGTCCATACGCCTAGGCATCCTCGCGCGTCCACATCTTCGCGTATCGTCCGATGCGGCTCTCACGGGTTCCTCAGGTCCGGGTTCGCAAATCAACCGCACGTTGTGGGTGTTTCCGTGCCCGGCTCGCTCACATCGAGCTTGTCGTGGAGACTCGCCGTTCCTTGCTCGATCTCCAAGCAGCGCATGTACTCTGAACGAATGCGCCGCATCCCCGGATACACCCGGGCGCGAATATCGCCTGCGGAGTAACTGTCGCGAGCGAGGTTGACCAGAGTACCCTCAGCGTATGCACGGTTACTGGGCGTGATAAGGCTGCCGATGGTGACGGTGTCGCCTAGGTTGCCCTGGTTATATCTGCTGTGATGGACATTGTCAGCAAGGTTTCAGATAAAGCAAGCAGAGATAATCGTACCCACGTTATCGTCTTGAACGCGCTCGCACAGTATGTTTTTCAGTGTCGTGCGGCCTCTGGACGTTCCTCCTCAAATCCCTCATAGTCGCAGAGTCCACAGCTCCAGTTCATCCAGTTGCACTTCGTCTACGAAGGTCCGTGCACCGCCCATTGCATCCCTCGCCTTGGCGATGCCGAAACTCGTCGGGTGCGTCTGTAGGTCGGCAAGATGCGTTGGACGAGTAGCGTTCTCAAGCCGCAACGTCGAGATTATAACACCGACGTGTGATGACAGTGCACGAATGCACATTGTAGGACTGTATCGTGGCGCCCTCAGCCGGGTGGCTCTTGACATGCCCATTGCTCTCGAGTGGGCGAGACCGGCGCGCTCTTTGCCGCCATCCCCTCCTAGACAGCGAGTTCGTTCGTGCTTAAGTCGAGCCATGGTGTTGCGCGAGTAACGCTATTGACAAATTGGCTCCTCCCCCAGCGCGGGGGCGGAGGTAGCGGCGACCCCATCCTCTCTGTATCCTCCAAGTAATCCGCGTTGGCCTCGGCCGCCGTGTTTGAACAAGCTTGATGGTCCCAGGTAGGGAATCCAAGTCGTCGTGCAGTGGTGTAATCAATGCATTCGCATTCTAAGGCAGGCGAGTACGCTGAAGATGGCGCGTCGTGGTCGTGAGGAAAGAGCGTACGGTCCCCCGCGAGGGCGGGCCGTGCTTGCCGCGCCGCCTGACACTCGGCTTCCACGGCCGCGGGCCAATCTCCGACCCTTACGCCTACCACCACCACGACTTGTGGCAACAACGATGACCTTCTAGTCCCTGAAGCAGCACTATGCGCGAACCTGGAGCCGTGAATACTGTGCCCTTCTGACGACTAAATCTGTGGCACTTCGCCCGCTTTGTACTCGCGATCAATTGCAAGTAATACGTAGACGCGCTATCGTCTCGTCCAGTGCGCGCCCATCGTCAACCTGCGTCGCTGTCGGTTCTATCTACCCGTTACCTGTTCAGATGTGAGGGTGACGGAACAGTCTGGACCCAGCGGTGCCCAGAGACTCTGAACGAATAGAAACCTGACGAGCGGCCCCCCATCGGGTTCTAAGTTCAACGTTTCAACTCTCTTGTGTCGCCGAGCCTTCTGCGATCAGGATGGTCGCAACCAGTAGACTGACTGGCACGGCCTCTGGCGGCGTCATAGCGAAGCTCATCCTTCATCTCGTTCGAGTGGTGTCTCGTTGTCATCGTAGTACACCTAGCCACAGAACCCACCACTCAGCGCTCAGCGCTAGTACGGGTTGACTCGGTACGTATCTTGAATCGAATTATCTTAATGCTACCATCTGACTTGCGCCTTGTAGCTCTGGCCACTCGTATTGAGAGCACCTGCTAAGACGATTTCATCAAGTTTCGGGGATAGCGCGAGAACAGCGCGGCGGTATTCAAGGTGTGCTGTCATCTTCATTTCAGATACATGCTCATTACAGACGACGACCTTTCTTCCTTCTTCTCAGATCAACATTGCTCCGCTAGAGCCGTTACTTAAGAGAGTTGGCACAGCAAGTGCAATGCATATCTTTGTCCAGCGCTACGTATGCGTCGAACGGATCGTGCCCATGTTCATCACCGGTGCTTCTCGGTACTGAGGATGTATCGCGTACCTCGCGTGAACCTAGTTGCGTGCACGTCTTCTCAAGCGTTGCCACTACGAAGCGATGTGCACGCTCATTCGTGCCCCATCCCGTCTCAAAACTGCCGCGCGTGCAATGGTTGCCTGGGCATGGAGACGCACTTGATATCGTCACGGAGAGATTGTCTACTCTACGTGGAGGTATATATGGCAGGCGGCCGACCCACCGATGAGTCGACAACATCTCATCCGAGCGCCATGCCAGCCGTAGACCCAACTTATCCTCTCTACCCCATCGCCTGCCTCTTGGCTTCAGCAATGCTGCTCCTCGTGATGCTGACCAGCTTTGTCCGCCAGAGCTGGAATCTCGGCGTTGCTTTTCTCTGTTTCTGGCTCTTCTTTGAGGTTTTAACAGCTGGTATCAATGCTATCATATGGACCGATAATGTCGACATCAGGCTATATGTGTATTGCGACATCGGTCAGTGAATTCTGATGGGGCTACTCATTCCTCCCATACTCTCCATCTAACATTGCATTGAACAGTGACACACATGCAAATCATCACTTCGGTTGTCAAACCTATGGCCACACTTATCATCACTCGCCGACTATACCTGATCACCAGTCTACGCTCCCTAGAGCCTCCTACAAAAGCAGCAGTGAGTTCTAGTGCACGACCGATTCTCCTCATTCTGAACTCGCATTAGAGACACAGAAACCTTGTAATCGAGTGGGCACTCGGCCTGGCCATCCCTCTTCTGGTCGCAGGACCTCTTTGTGAGTACGTCCTTGACTTGAATGTCACCAAGTGCGCTCAACCCGCCCGGAGACTACGTCGTCCAGGGTGCTCGATTCAAGGTCAGCGATGGTTTTGGCTGCACCAACGTCCCCGACAATTCAATACTCAGCATCTTGCTTCTATATTCATGGAGTGTGGTACCTCCCCTGGTGTCCATCACCATGTACTATCGTGCGCCAGATTCATCTCGTACGGTTCCTCCTTGATCTTGCAATGCTCATCCCTAATACCCCAGCTCATGTGGTTCGGATCTTTTATCGCCATAATCGGGAGATGAACCAGTTCTTACAAAGCAACAACTCGGTGTCCCGCACCAACTACTTTCGAATTCTTGCCCTTGCCAGCATCGATATTCTGCTCACTTTGCCTATCGGCGTTGCGATCATCGTCTTGAACGTGAAAGACCAGTTGTCGTCTTTCGATCGCTTCCCATTCTACTATGGCTGGACCTACGACCACACGGACTGGCAGCCGGTGAGCTTCTCTTTTGCAGACATAGTGTCCGAAGGGCCTTTCAATGTGGCAGCCCTCTACTTCACTTATTGGACATCGCCCGCCCTCGCCTTCGTCATCTTCGGCCTCTTCGGCATAACATCGGAAGCTCGCGCATCGTACTGGCGCATCATATGCACCGTCGGCAGCTGGTGCGGCTGGAAACCCACGCTTCGCACGCGCAGGTCGCGTTCGCCTCTAGGAGATATCGAGTTCGGCGAGCGTCCTGCTCAGAACTCTATGTCGCTGGGTCTTGAGTACGCCCTCCCATGCATTCACAAGCGATTGACTAACGATAATGAGCTAGGTCAAACCCAAGCTACGTCGACCGCAACGCGCGCGCGCCAGATCAGGTCGTGGAGGACGGAGGTTCCGCGAGCGAGACGAAGAGTGCTTCGGAGAAGGACGCGATAGAAGAGGAGGACCGGGATCTCAGCCGTGCGGCGTACGTGACCTTTGCCACGGTTCGAGTTGAGTATCCGGCTAACGCATCGTGCAGACATGCAGAACGCGCAACGCAACCTTCCGGGTCTTACCAGCCTAACTTCGGCGACTCGGAAGTTTCGAACTTGGTATAGAGTGGTACTCTGATTATCAACGTTGTCGTTCAGTCACACTGCGGCCACTCGCTGTGCGAGGACACTTGCAGTTCATTCCTTATGGCTCCTTGTCTTTGCGGTTTCAATCCCCTTGCCTCAGGTTCTCTCTCCCCATCGTTGTATTTGTTATCCTATATAATAAAGAAGCTGGGTGTCCGACCACAAGCGGCCTTCTGATTGGCTGAGACGACAGACGGCGCCGCGCCACGTGGCTGAGCATGGCGCGGGTTCGAACCGCCCCCGCGTCGTCGACCTGCACAGGGCGCATTAGGCCGTAATATCCCAGGCTCCAGATGCCTCAAATCAGGCCAAAGTAACACATTTGCATCGCGTCCTAGGCAGTCCACAAAGGCGGAGATTTGTCGGCTGCCTAAAACGCGACGCGAATGTGTAAATCTACGCGGCCGAAGGCCATCCGAAGTCAGCGGGATAACGCCCTAATGCGCCCTGTGCTGGGCGTTCATCGTCTCCTCACGGTGGCAGCAGTGAGGAGAGTAAACAGATTCAGGTTTGGAACGGTACACGGTAATACATCTACAGAGTCCTCTATCTCAAACGTCAGAAAGTCATATTATCGAGAATGCTCGGTGTTATAAAGCTTCGAGCGTCACGCACTCCCACCACGGAGAGGTCAGCGATAGTGTACAGTTGAAATATGACCTCGGTTCATTGACCTGAGTCAGGATCCCCCGCACGTGAACCGAGGGCGAGCGCAGCGAGCCCGAGGCGAACGCACGAGAGTGACGGTAGAAAGTTGTTTGATGCTTTCAAGACTGCTCGGTCTCAAATATTCATCGGGCTTCAAAGCTTTACACGAGGCTTCACGGACGCCCGCCACGGAGAGGTCAGTGACGGTGTACAGTCTGGATATAGCTCTGGGCCCATTGACCTGAATCAGGATCCCTCGCGCGTGAGCCGAGGGTGAGCGCAGCGAGCCCGAGGCGAACGCGCGATAACAGCATCCGTATCTCGAACAGGACAGACTTAACAGGTGTGTTCCTGATATCCACCTTGCATGGGCTTGGAAAAGCTCATAGTAACGAGTAGGATCGGATCGGGCCCCGTGCAACGCACGGGTCACAGCTAGTACCAGAAATAATACAGATGATCCAGGCAAGAGTACAACAGGTATCGTATAGGTTGCGTACACGCGCAGGAGTACCATTCAGGCCGCGTCGCCCAGGATCTCTAGCGCCTCAGCGACAATCGCTTCGAACTTGGTCCGCTCGTCCTCGCTCCAGTGCTCGAGGCTCCCGTCTTCGCAGGCAATCCGGTACGTGTCAAGTAACTGCCGGGTCTTCTCACGGTATTCTTCGACTGTCTGGTCTCGTTTGGCAGTTATGGCGTCTCTGATGGCGAATTCCACGTCCCTAGCGAGGACGGCCATATCACGTTCGTACAAGGCTTCGTTGAGTTCGTCGCGTTCGTCCAACGTAGTTTGTATAGAGGGATCTGTATAGCATCAGCCCCGTACTGTGTGAACACATGGCAAAGAGGAATGGACGTACGGTTAAACCACTGGATAGACTCTGAGGCAGGTATACCATAGCGCGCAAGTCGCTCTTGAACCTCAGAGACGACTTCGGCCCTTGACATCCAGCGATCTCTTAGAACCTCGTTGAGAGCCGCGTGGAAACGAGTTAGCAGGAAGAGTGCGAGTACTCCATCGTTGTCAGCCGTAGCCTGTGGCGTAGGTGGTAGTGGCGGGGTGGGCCCGGCGGGCAGGTTGGGAGTCGTAAGCGTGACAGGATCCGACATAATGTTGTCCGGTGGATGGAAAGTGTGTAGTGCTGATCGAGGAGAAATGTGTAGTGGCGATCGAATTCAAGACCGGATACTCCAAGGAGAGGTAGAGTTTGAATATAGGCAGAAGCGGGACAGTGTGCTGGAGACTGTGGTGGGCGTAGGATGCCGAAAGGAATGGCCCGGGGGACGACGTTCAATGATATGATGTTTGCATTACTGTAGTTCGGCAGCCATCGGGCAGTTGCGGCAACGCTTAAGTCAGAACCATACGTACTGCGTCCAAGGTTGCCTTGTGCACGGGGTGTTGTTCCGTCTGCTGCATGTCTTGCCACGCACGCATGATAGCCTAAGGACCGGCCCATCGTCCAGGATGCGACCAAGTATCTCGAGTCCCGTTTGGGAGAACGGCCACTCAGGTGATTTTCGGTGCGCTGATCGCTCGAGGTTCATGCACATGTTTGAGTAACATATCGTTGACTGTCAAGTATGACACGTTGATGTTGGCAGGAAG